CTTTATGATCATGGTACGTCACGCAGGAAGGATTTACCGGCACGTCACTCGAGGTTGGAGCCTAGAAGCGCCCGTAGCGCTACCGAGAGATGCGTAATCCCCGTGCCCGGTACAATTTGTCCTGCCTTGATCTTGTCTTGGAAGTGCGGCCGTTGGAATCCTCCGTGATAGCGACGGTTATATATGTTTAGGGTAGGCGAGGGTTTTTGATCCGGATGGCCGGGTTTTCCCTTGCACCGTTACTGTTTAGAGTCCCTAGGTCTGATCAGGGGTAACCATGCCCCACGGATGGTTTGCCACTTGCGTGAAAAACCAGGGAGGGTGTTCGTGTGTTTGGATACGGACAGGTATTGATCGACCGCAGTAACGGATATATTCGCAGATAGGAACGTAGACATACCATTTTGGGGTTCTTGTGTTTGTGACCCCTGCTTCTCTGTTTTCCGGAAGCACTCTTCTTCTTCTCTTCTCTTGCTTCTGCGTTTCTAATACAAGCGATATTCAGTCTCTCCCTTCCAATTCGCGGACATATACAACAAGCACTGTTGAGAGGGGGATCCTGAGTTTGGCGGTTGGGAGTTACTTTTGTCGTGAGATCGGGGTAGCTCGTGAGCCGCCAGCTTTGGTAGCTGCACAATGGGACTGGATCCTGACGCCCCGGCTTGGACACCGGGGCTATGCAGCAGCAGAGAGCACGGCGAGGGTGGCGGAGTGACCGCACGCCGTGGGGGTATGCCCCAGGGAGAGGAAAAGAGAGAGTCCAGAGATGGAGGGCCACACCGCTCCGGGACAAGAAGACAACTCTATGGCAAGCAAGGCAAGAACCGGGGTAACTATCACGTTCGCCCGAGTGTTCGCAAGAANCACGCCGTGGGGGTATGCCCCAGGGAGAGGAAAAGAGAGAGTCCAGAGATGGAGGGCCACACCGCTCCGGGACAAGAAGACAACTCTATGGCAAGCAAGGCAAGAACCGGGGTAACTATCACGTTCGCCCGAGTGTTCGCAAGAAAATAGCAAAAAAACAAAAAAGAGGGGAAGATGGAGTAAAAGGAGGGGTCGGGCGGCGCGTAGGCTAGCTAAGAGAGCAGCGCGCGCCGCGCGAAAGAGACAGCAGGGTCAACTTCTTAGGGTAGCAACCTGGAATGTGCGGACTTTGGCTGTAAACGGGGCCAATGGATACGGGCGAGCTTACAGCATTCTACACGAGGCAGCGAGACAAGACGTATTGGTGGTGCAAATGCAGGAGACACGGAGGGCAGGTCGAACGGCACTTGCAGCAGCGGGTTTCCGGGTGTTCTGCTGTGGCACGGAGACTGGTGGAGTCCATGGTGTGGGGATAGCCGTCAAAGAGTCACTGTGCAAGACATCCACGTTCACTACGGAGTTTATCGACGAACGCCTTGTGGCCATGAGGTTTCTCATGGCAGGCCACCGTGGAGCGGTCAACTTCGTAGCCGCGGATGCTCCAACCGAGTCTTCAACCGCCGACAGCAAGCGCGTGTTCTGGGGAAAACTTGACAGTCTCGTGCGGAGGATCCCTTCCAAAGAATGTGTGCATGTCTTACTGGACGCCAACGCGCGGACGGGAAATAGGTTGGACGGAGGGGACGGCAGGGTAACAGGAATGTACGGGCGTGATGAGCTCAACGACAATGGCATGCTATTGTCAACTTCGCAACGAAAAACAGGCTAGCTCTCACGAACACGTTCTTTGAGAAACGCAAGGGCGGAATATGGCACACATACAACGGTGTGTCGGGAAACGATTGCAAGCGCCTTGACTACATCCTGACAAGGCAGGCACATCACGGCCGAGTATCTAACGTGGTCGTCATCCCCCAGCCGGTTCGCCCAGTCAAAGCAGACTACGACCACAATATGGTAGTAGCCACCGTCAACCTCGGTGGCAGGCTTACCCACAACCGTGCAGTCCGGACTAAACTGAAACAGAAGCAATTCAACCGACGGGAATTGCAGTTCGAAGCAGCACGGTGGATGATGCGGTGACTAATCGGTTCCTCCTCAACCTCGACACACGACTGGACGAGCGACCAACCACCGCCGCGGGATTGGCGACCGACTTTACCAATGCTCTCCTCGACGCAGCGCGGACGACCCTGGGGGAACCGCGGAGACGCCGCACTCAGGAGTGGTGTGAGACCCCAGAGACGCGAGCAGCGCTGGAGCAGGCCCTTACCAAACGCCGGGAAGCGCGGCGGGTGATGAGGGGCAACTGGAACTCAGCGACGTGGAGGGTTCTCAAAGCAGCGTGTAAGGGAGTGGCTACAGCAGGCGAAATGGGCAATAATTCTCACCTGGACGGATATGTGACTGAACTCGAAGCAATCTACAAAGGTCGCGACATGCGAGGACTAATACGCCCAGACGACCGAGTTCCGGTACCTCGGTGGCCTCGTCAACGAAGATGGACCTCACCCGGGAGATCAACTACAGGAGCAGAGGAGCGTGGGCGTGCCTCAGGCGATGTGGCCGGGAGCTCTTCGACAGACCGCAAGCGCCATTCCGACTCAAGATCCGCCTGCTCCAGGCGGAGGCGATGGAGGCACTGCTGTACGGCTGCATGACATGGTCACCACTCAGCGGCAACTATCAGACGCTGCGGTCGATACACCACCGACTGCTCCTTCGAGTTATCGGGTACAAGCGCAAGAAAGACACCTACCGGCAGCTCTCTTACGCCCAGACGCTGAAGAGGGTCGAATGCCAGAGCGTCGAAGCCACGATCCGACGACGACGCCTCCTGTTGGCGGGAACATTGGCATGGCAGCCGGACGGGCGACTCCCGAAACGACTGATGCTCGGCGAACTGGCAGGGGGGGAGAAGCGACGTAGGGGGGGACAGGAACAGAACTGGCCGAAGTGTGTGCTCGACGACCTGAAGGCATTCGGGGCCGACCACGGATCTACGAAAACCGATCCATGTTGTCTCGGAATCCCGGTACCGAAAGACACGGCACCGAAGTTAAAGTGGACGGAAGCCGCGAAGGTAGAGGGGGGAGTACCCTGGCATGCGGCGGTGCTGCAGGGAGCTGAGAGGTTCATGACCTCCTGGCACGAGAAGGAAGAAGAGGCCAGCCGACAACGGGCGCTCAAACGAAACCACAAGCCACCAACCAATGGGGCGGGAGGGGGGCAGGAGACGGACGAGACGGCGAGGGAAGAAAGCAAACGAGAAGAGACGGACCGAGTGGCGCGATGCGTGCCGGATTGAATTTCTTTTCGCCAATTCCCCCTCCCCCAACACTGCACCATTGCACCAACCCTCCACTAGTGATGACGTACCATTACAATGTATCACTGGTTGGTGGCCATGTTTGCGTGTTTGCTTGTTCGTTAGTGGTCTCTCCATCGTGTGCCTTTCTGTCCCTTATTTCTTGATATTTTCGGCCTGGTCCCTTTTTGTCCTCGCACTTTTTCATTTCATTTTCTCTTTCCTTACTGTTTCCTTGTATTTTCTTCTCTTTTTCTCTTTTTCTCTGTTTTTTCTCTTTTTCTGTGCCAGATGGCCTTGTCTGCTTGCGTTGTGAAGCACCAAGATTGAACCAAGGGAGTGAACCTCTTTCTCTCCGTCCCGTGATGGTGACTCCTAGCCTCAGTTGTTACCTCACATAGCGCGCAGAGGGAGTGGAGGACTCCAGAACATCTGTCGTTGATTTCTATTGCTTGGGAACCCCTCGGGGCCAGTGTATTTGAGTGTACATTTTTAGGGTAAGTTAGCCTACGACCACGGGAATCGACCGCGTCGAGTGTTGGATCAGTACGAACATACGAAGGTACCGGGTAGAAAGCGATCGGAACGGTTGTTAATGTGAAGACAACAACAACAACAACAACAACAACAACAACAACAACAACAACAACAACAACAACAACAACAACAACAGGGAAAGTCCTCCACGTGATATTCCGCAACTAACCACATCGGCAGAGCGGTACCCTCCTGGGTGTGGAGAATGAGCAATTACGCTAGAAAAAGATGACACCCCCGTTCCGTCGCGCATCCTTACGGAATGTTTATCATGATACCTGGGTCACGCAAATATGTCGATGCCGGAGATTGAGAGAGAAGTGCAACCATTTGATCAGACAACTGCTTCAGAGTACCGTGACTTTCCTTCCCCTCGCTGCCTCGGCAAGGTTTTGCGTAGGCATGACCCATAGCGAGGGGGGGGGCCTTTCTAGCGAGCAGGGCTAGACTCACCCTCAGGGGACCGATACCTTCTTGCT